TCTCTTTGCACTAGATTTTTGCCCACATTTAGCATGTGGCCGACTAATAAAAAGTCTTTGGAACTCCGTTGAAGGTCTTTGACTGTTGGAATGTGGTCTATTGGAATACCAAGTAATGCCTGAATGCAGATGGATTTTCTTTATGCTAGGGAAGTTACATAAAGCATCAAAAGTTGATAGACTGCTTGTGTGCTAGTGGATGTTCACCGTCCTACCGCACATTATCCTCGATAGATATTTCGTGTTTTCTTCAGAATTTTACAAGGAGAAGACTCCACATTACCTAGCAGAAGTTTGTAAGTTCTTTATGTACTTTCTTCATCCATTCACCAATCTCATATCATAGGTAAGATGACTTAGCAACACTACTGACACTGTACATTCTACTTATAAGTGAAAATTGGCTGGGAAAGAATTCAGCAAATACAACTACATGCTTCGAATGGCCATTTGGAACAGCTCTATGGGACTGCCGTATATTTCATCGCTTCTTATTTGGAACGAGACAACTCTGCTTCTTCGTTGTGTCTCTATTATGTATGCTACATAACAGGTAATGCTTCTTGGGCTACAATACCCAATTTCATTGTGATTAATTGCTGGAAGAAAATATGTGCAAGATTCCCGGTCCAGGACCAGAAAAGGACCAAATTCCTCTAGGTCCAATAGATCATGGACCATTTTTTAACTATATTTGTCAGACGTTGTTTTGCTTAATTTGTTGGGCGTGACACGAATGGATCATAATCAAGGGAATGGTGACTTTAACTAGTATTGACATGTTTTCCGTAAATATATTGAGGTTCTTATATTCCTCGCAAGGCAAAAAAAGTCACAAAGCAATAACTGTTTCAGTGTTGCTGAGAATATGAGATTCAAAACATATAACTTTTCAAATATTAGCCCAATACAATTATTGCAGAAAGATACAGAATCGTACATGCATGAAAATATAGTTGGAGAAAGGAAAATGAAAAAGAAACTATTGTTGCCAACTTAAGTGCTTTTACCAACTCACGAAACACGAGAAAGGTCACTGCCGCCCCATCTTGCCACCCATATTTTGCTTGTGTTTGTGCTTTAGTAAGGAAACCTTTGGCACGTCGCTCCGCAAGCTCCATCTCTTTCTGTCTCAGATCGTATAGTAAGGAACCAATTTGATGCTTCCTTTTATGCAGCTTTGAAGGCTTACCCTTGGTTGAAGCGGCCTACAAGGCGACGAATCGCAGATAATTGATATGTGTTCTTAAAGCTAGTCATTAAACTCGAAAGGAAAAGATAAAATGATACACGTGATAATCAGAAGTCACCTCTATGTCTGAGTCAAGAGTTTCATTAAAAGGAAAAGGTAAAATTTATCCAAAAGAAAAGAGAAGGAACGCAAGAAGTATCCAAAAGGAAAATAATTTCTTAAGCTATAGTTTATTAGTCAAGTATGATTCAACTTCAACGCAGAACATTCATGCTGTCCATATAACATCTTTAGTACCAAGGTTCATATCCGGTACTGTTGAGTATATAATTTCTTATTCTATGATGCACAGTTATTTAGAACATGAATCCATGTCCACCTACAGGGGGGAAGAAAAAAGAAAAACTGAAGCAGGCCAAAAAATAAAATGAAGAAATTTACTTTAATCCATGCCAAAGATGTAGTTTCTTGGAGAGAAAAATGAGGAGGAAAGGCAGTTTTTCTATGGAGGAAAATATCAATGGAACTGGAGAAGATTCATGTTTACAGCTCAAACCCATACTAATACACAGTGCTAACCTTGTCAACCGAGAACGCAATCCAAGACAAAAGAACAAGAAAAAAAGCCTAGAAGTAG